ATAAAGTCTTCATCCTTATTTTGTACAGCCCATTCTAGTCTCTTCCTCTTGTTCACTTCTCTTATTACCTGACAGTAAGCGCTTCCTCTGAATGTCCAACCAAGTGATGTCCTACACCGCAGCACAGTTCTTAAATTTATGCTGTAGCCTTTGCTCACTAACAGTGCGTGTAGCTGGTGAGCAGATGTTTCATCATCGACCTCCATCTGATCGTCTCCAATCTTTTTTATGTCAGCCGTTATCTTAGAAGGCCTGCCACTACCAGGTTTTCTCAGCATACAACCGCGCTCTAAAAATCTCACCAAAAACTTGTGGATTCCTTCTCTACTTAGATCTTTGCCTTCCTCGAGCAATTTCTGATAAATAGTAGGAGCTTTAAAGCCTTTACTGTAATAATAAAGGATCCTAGCCTTCTGGTAAGAAGTGAACACAGCCATTTTCCAATATAAGGGTGCGGTCAATTATTTTAATTACGCTAATTAGAACACGTGCAGCAAGTTGTCGTAGCAACTAAGTTTAAACGAAACCAAAAGAAATACGGTACGGATTGTTTCGTTGAACGATCGTTTTACAGTGTAAAAACGTGAACTTTTTTTTGTCTTATACCGTAGGTCTAACATGGCCTTCATGACACGAATGTCAGGCACATGCTTTCTCCAGTATGAAAGAAAACAATTGTAAGTACAAACCTTTCCTGTTACTGCTTTGACATCATCCTTGTACACCCCCATAGTTGTCGTACTTAATGGCAGTAAATGGGTCTTAGCATAATCTTTCACACCAGGAATATGCCAATGTAGCAGTATAGCATGCACCTCTGCATAGTTCTTTATGAACTTGACAATCTCTTTCATACTGTCAGCAGAAAGTGCAGCCTGGGTGTTTTCCCAGTGTTTTCATGTACTCTAAAATAAGTGTCAATTTAGAATGAGGCATACCTAGAGGTCAACCCATTCTCTAAAAAAGACTTCCTGACATTTCTCAGTCTTTCTTCCCAATGCCATAAATAAACATGCAAGTGTCTTTACACACCTGTACAGTACTGTTTCATTTTATTTTAGTTTAAGAAAGTGACTGACCTTCATTCCCCCATCAGTGAATGTAGTGAAGTTCCTCTGTCTCACTCTAATATCGAGTTTCTTGTTGTTGCTGGTACTCTCACCACAGTATGTTCCAGCCATTATCTGTCCCATCAGAACCATGTCTAACTCATGGGAAGACAGCTCCAACAAGCTGGTTCTGGCTGCTCTCAAGTAAGATGGTTCAAACTTTCTCCAGCAGCTGTCAGAGCAACCACAACCAGCCTGAAGAAAGTCTTTCACTTTCCATGTCCACCTCTCTCTCAACCTCTACAAGTACCTGTACTGGTTCCTCAATCCCTCTCACTCCTGCAGTCTCCAAATCTTCAGGCTTTTCAATACCACTCACTTCCATCTCCATGTCTCCTGGTAAGTCATCACTCATAACAGTCAATCCACTTCACTCTAGCTCTCCATTAATTTGTAGCTCACCACCGTGATCAATGTCCTCGTTATCGCTGCCGCTTTCATCTTCCATCACTTTGTCTATTTTTTTTATAATAATAAAGTATAATTTTTAATGCTACAATACATGTAGTATTACTGTCCTTATTGTTGTATTGTTATCATAATTAACAATGTTATTTTAGGTAAGTAGAATAGATTGTAGTGCTAAGTAGGTGTTAAGTATGTAAGTATTCATTGCGGTGTGGTAATTGGCATTTGTAGCTTTTGCAATGTTTTTACCTGACTCCTCGTCGTTGAAATAGTCATGCAGCATCTCAAGCAGCACCCTGCTTGTGATGCTTGACTTATGACCTTCCTCCTCATTCAGTAAGAGAGCAATTTGCCTTGCTGCTTCCATCAAGAAACAGTACCAGCTGTTAATATTTGCTTGTAACCATGGTAAATTGCTAGGATACTGATTGTCGCCATGACGCCCCATTTACCTCAGTTTCATGGGCCGTGTGACTCGCTCTGTGCACATTAATGGCTAGAGGATCTAGTAGCTACTTTCTCTGGAGTACAGCAGCATCTTTGGCATCAAATCATAGCTTATTGTCTTTATAAATAATTTGTGCAAAAATCTTTTTTTTGACCAAAAACGTGCAAGTTGACTTACTATCACTATGCTGATAAATTTAATAATGCGTCAAACGGTACCTTTTGGTCAATTATCGTTGCATATTCTGCAAACTGAT